AGGGTTTGAAGGGGACGGGTTTGGTGAAGACGAAGGCAGGGGGGCAGGGTATGGTAAAGGGTTTATATAGTTAGTGGGTGGGCGGATCTCAACCGTTAGATCAATCTAGATCTACGGTCTGGATCTGAGGGCTTAAGTGGAACGGTGTCGTTTTGAGGGTAAAGGGTTTGGGTTGGTCCGGGTGAAAACGGGTCGGGGCCATTAGTGGGTTATGGGAAATGTGATCTTGGCCGTTGATCAATCTGAGATCAACGGCCCAGATCAACCTGTATCAATACGACGTCGTTTGGACTCTCTGGGCATCAGCTGGACTGGACCGGGCAGGCCTGGTTTGGGTATTGTTTGTTTGGGCCAATTTTAATAAATTGGCCCAATCCGGAAGAAGAAGAGACCTTTTCTTATTTTTTATTTTTTATTTTATTTTTTATTTTTTTTTATTATTTTTATTTCTTTTCCTTATTTATTTTAAAAACAAAACTAAGCAAAAATCAAATTAAAATTAAATACACACTCAATATAATTATTTGCACACACACTAAAAATATTTCAAAACAGGTAAAATCAAACAAAACAAAATCACGGACAAAGATGCCTATTTTATGCCTTTCTATTTAACAACCATGTTACGGTTCAGATTATGCATGACACGTACCTTTTTTTGTATTTTGTTTTAATAAAGTAAAAATGGGCCAAAGTCATAAATAATTAACGAAGTGCCATAAAAAATCCGAAAATTGTACAACAGGATCAATTGTCGTTATTTTTTATTTCTTTTGGAGCGATTGTCCCATGAAACAAAAATCACGTGCTCACACTTCTCAAACAAAAATTTTATAGAGATAACTCGTTGAAATTCATTTATTTATTTTTTGGTCTAATTCATTTATATTTTTATTAATTCTCTCCGCTCTTTTTTATATTAAAATGATCCGTGCACCATGCGGATATGTTTACTAGTATACATAAAATAAAAATTTACCTAGCAATACAATGTAATTTTCCGGTGAATGAGTGTCAATTGGCACCCCTTAATTGAATGTGGCTCCACCACTGGTGATGACGAAGGGAGATAAAAAATTTCAATGTGTCAGAATTGAGGATTTTGAAAACAAAAAAAAAAACATAATACTTAATTAAAACATACGAGGGACGCTAGACATGTCTATAAACTGAAAATTGAACCTCTAGCTTCACTTATAAAGGAGCATCTAGTAATCATTGAATCATAAGACTCTTTGAACTTGCGTGCACATATATATGAAGCAATTTTTAAAAAATATAATATTATTATTATACATAATATAACTAGAGGAGCATGGGCTCGCATGCCCCATGCTCCAATACATGGATATGCCCCTACCATGGAGGATACAGTCTGGCTATTTTTGTCCTTAGAAGTTAACAGAATGAATAAGTTGTTTATGTTTTGAGAATTTGCTGTTAAGTCAATACTACTATAGAAGGTAGAAGATTATACGAAAAAGGGCAAATATATTCCTGTACTATCAGAAAATGTTTAAATATATCTCTCGTTATACTTTGAATTTAAATATATTCCTATTATTATATTATTTGTTGAAATGTACCTATTTTCTGTTAAGTTTGTCCAAAGTGAACATCCAATCTATGTGGCACTGACATTTGATGAGTTGGATGTCACGTGGCTTGACCCCTCAGCACCCCTAACTCATTTTACCCCTCCTTTCTATTTTTTTCCTAACACTAAAATTTTCTTTCGCTCCACCACTATTATCGTTATTATCACCACTATAAAAAATATTTTATTTTAAATTTTAGTCTTATATATATAGATTAGGGGCGTTGAGGTGGCATTCTATGTGTCATTGTCACGTAAGATTAGATGTCTATCTTGGACAAACTTAACAGAAGTGAGGTATATTTAAACCAATAGTATTACGGTAACGATATAGTTAAACCTAAAGTATAACATATGTTATATTTTAATATTTTCTCATTAAACAAGTTTTTTTAATGATTAAGGTAACATTATTATTATTATTGTGTCCTACTAGTTTTTGTTATGATTAGATTTTAAACCAAAAATTTTCTGGTGTTGCGGTTAATTCCTTAGTTCGCTGTAAAAACACCTTTGCCGAGGAAAAAGGGAAAAACAAAAAAAAAATCAACACTACAGCCTTGCCGTTTCTTCTTCGTTTCCCCTCTTTTAACCCTAGACCCCTTTTGAATTTGGATCGTCTCATCCAGGTAATTAATTCAATATAGTACTAGTAGTTTAGATTCAATTTATTTTTGCAATCTCTGTTAAAACGAACATTTTATATCGAAAAAATCCAAACTTTGGTTTCAGTTTTTTCTAAATTTGTTTATGCAGAGGTGGATCCATGATTTCACGAGGATGAATGCACTAGGCGGATCAATGATTTAAATTTGACGGATTAACTCTTAGGTTCTTACCATTAAATTCATCACTTGTAAACTTATAAGTTCAGTTTTTTTTACAAAAAAAATTGAGACTTTTCACATATATATCTAATTAAGAAACTGTTGGAGTGATTAGTTGAATCATTGACTGTGTGTTACATCTTCTGCTACTATTAAATTTAATATAAAGATTTGGTTTAGCACAAGAGAGGTTGCTCTGATGGTAAGGAACCTCCACTTGCAATCAAGATGTTGTGAGTTCNGTTTTTTTTTTTTTTTCAAAAAAAATAAGACTTTTCACATATATATCTAATTAAGAAACTGTTGGAGTGATTAGTTGAATCATTGACTGTATATTACATCTTCTGCTACTACTAGATTTAATATAAAGATTTGGTTTAGCTTTATAGGACAAGAGGGGTAAGGAAACTCCACTTTCAACCAAGAGGTTGTGAGTTCGAGTCATCCCAAAAGCAAGGTGAGGAGTTCTTGGAGTGAAGGATGACGATGGTCTATTTGGAAACAGCCTCTCTGCTCTAGGGGTAAGGTCTGCGTACACACTACCCTCCCCAGATCCCACTAGTGGGATTATACTGTGTTGTTGTATTTGGTTTAGCTATATAAAATTGTAATATTTAAAAAAAGAGAAATAGAGATTTCAGTGTCTCTGAAACAATAAACCAAGACCCCACTTGTGGGATTTTAACTCGAAGGTCTTTCGGAAACAACCTCTCTACTCCTCCGGGTAGGTGTAAGGTCTACGTACGTTCTACTCTACCCAAACCCCACCTGTAGGATTTTATTGGGTCGTTGTTGTCTAAAACAATAAACCACATATAGAGAAAGATATTTTTTTAAATCTATTTTGCCTTCGAAATTAATTTCAGATCATAAATCCCTGACTGACTTGTGAATTTCTTATCATCTATATGACCATTCGAGTTACGTGTGTATACACACACACCACTTTTGTTTCCGCATTTATTCTTTTTTGCAGAATTTCTTGTTAACAGCTTCTTCAACATATCTTCTCCTGTTATTCCTTTCTACTGACTCTTACGTATCTTTGTTGTTTGATGGCAATATATATAAATCAGTAAATAAAATCTGGTATTAGACTTATATCTATCTGCAGCTGGATGGGCGGTTCCTCTCAAGTTCTCTCCCTCTCTGCCTCTCCTGCAACCCGTGGCCTGTTCCTCCGCACTTGCATGGTTTTGTATCAGAAGTTGAAGGCCTTGGTTTCATCTTTTAAGAATTTTAGATGGACGCGGCCAGGGATATATGGTGGTCGTTCAACCGGTGGTAGTAAGTCTTTTTTTACCTAAAGATTGAGTTTCTCGACTTGAAATTATGAGGTTGTTTGAGGCTAGCAATCTACCACATAAAAGGGAGCTTGAACTTAAGGAATGATTGAGTTTGACAATGTAGTCACTATGTTATAGAGGGTGTTTGGATTGGCTTTTAGGCTGGTCAAATCAGCTTTTAAGATCTTTTTAGCTTCTTTCAGTGTTTGACAAAGTTAAAAATTGTTTAAAATAAGTTAAAAATTGCTTAAAACAAGACAAAAATCAGCTGAACAACCCCAACTTATTGTTTTTGGGCTTAAAAGCTATTTATGCTGAAAAGCCACTTTTTAAGCCAATCCTAACGGGAGTCTTTGTCATTGACATTGCCACAAATTTATGATATTTCCTTTGAGCAAAGGTAATAACAGTGTATCAAGTTGGTGCATGGTTCTGCCATTTCCCGCTTGGCCATAAGATTTATATTCATTATATACTTCTTTGTTAACCATGCTCAGAAAAAAAAATGACTAGCTTTGTACGGTGTTTTTTAAGTTTGGGTGGCAGATCAATTCGACAATTTACTTTGCTGATATTGTTTGGAGACTAGAAGATGCTTCCTTTTAAACTTTAAAGTGGTGATCTTTTGTGAAAAGTTGACCGTTCTAATAGTGTTGTTCATTGTTTTGGTGTGCTCGGTTTTGTGTTTTCCTAACTTTCCTTGAGATGCTGAATATTTTCTTCTCGTGCGTGTTTCTTTCAGAGCCTCTCGTAGAAGGTTATGACTATTTGTGGTATGCTTTTACTACCATTCCCTTCGGATGCTTGGCCGCTGCCTTCCTGCTGTTAGGGGGTACTGATCATCTGTTAATTTTTACCTTCGGGATTTGCCCGGGTTGTGGTTATATACTTCATATCAATGTGTTGTACTCTGTTGTTTATTGGCATCGCGACATGCCTTTCCGTTTAATTGGTGCCAAGGCTAAATTTATGATCGAGGCCATTCCTCTGGTTACTGCTGCAGCCTTGCATCACCTTTTGGAGTTCAATTATGGGTATCTCGCTCTATTAGTAAGCTGCACCGGATATTTCTATACCTATGCGCACTTCTTGCGCGTAGCATATGATATTAAGGGAATAGATGTTATGATGGGATTAGTAATGCAGGTTCTTACTTACATGTTGAACGTAGATTTATTAGTTAGAGCTTTAGTTTTGAGCTTCTGCTTTGGTATATGTTTCTATAGATACGTGATGTATTGTGCTCCTGAACTTCCTGCTCATGATAAAAAGGAGTTGGAGCAGCTGCCTTGTTGATTTGAATTATCTTGAGTATAAGTTAATTGAGTTATTTTCTCTTTCTTTTTTTTTGTGATGAGTCTTTGGTTCACAGATTTTTTCCAGCGTAATTATATCTTGTGCCCTTATCACTATATAATATTAGTTGTACAACAATGGAGAAAAGGAAAATCATTTTGGAACAGTTTCCAAGAGGATCAGTTGTTGTTATATGATCAGGAGGTTATGAGTTCAAGTTGTTGAAACAATCTCTTGTAGAGTAAGGTTGCGTACAATAGGCCCTTGTGGTCCGGCCTTTTCCCTTAGCGGAAGCTAAGTGTACTGGGCTGCCCTTTCCAACAGGATCAGTGGCCAGCATTTTTATCAGTAGAAGACTGAAAGTATCCATCTCTACTAAAATAGACGACAGGTTAATATAGGGCAAATTGAATAGATTGGATAAAACTGCGCGGGCTTTGACATTCAAATGTTAGAAATATAAGAGCAGCTAAACTTAGACTGGTACTGTATAGCCGCTTTCAAAACAATGGTCGAAAATGTATATTTTTATTTATTTATATACATTTTATATGTTATATATAAGACAAGAGGGGTTGCTCTGATGGTAAGCAACCCTCACTTCCAACCGAGAGGTTGTGAGTTCGAGTCTCCGCAAGAGCAAGGTGGGAAATTTTTGGAGGGAAGGATGCCGGGGTGTCTATTTGGAAACAGCCTCTCTACCCTAGGGTAAGGGTAAGGTATGCGTACACACTACCCTCCCCAGACTCCACTAAGTGAGAATATAAATAGTTGTGCAAGCTAAAAGTGAAAAAGCCCTCAATTTTTACAGTTTACCTCTTAAGCTATTTATTTCTTCTTTTTGACCATCAAATCTCTCCTCAAAGATAAACTATATGAAATTAGCTACCTCAACACAATAAATGAAACAGGATATATTTCACCCCATTTTCTACCAAAATATTGGCTTCGGGGGNAGGAAATTAATAGATAACAGTGTGTTTAATCCCAAAAATTCTAAACCAAAAAGTCTAGCCTATTATTCTATGTAATACAACTACGTATAATATTAATATTAAGATCATTGTCAACAAGATTAGACCCCTCATACCCAAATTGAAAATTTTGGTCCTTTATAAATTGAAATTTCCCTAATAAAGCTAAATTTTTCTGATACATCACACTTACAATGGCTCGTGTTACTACAATATCAACCTCTATACATCAATATTAAATTGAAAAAAATACCCCTTTCTTTAAACCAACCAGTAAAATTTGACAAGTACTTAGGCTTCCATATTTTCCACAAAAAGATGACTAAAGCTGGGTTTCGATTCATCCTTATAATATGAACTCCTGATTGGCAGGGCAGAAGACCAAATTTATGAACATGGACGGTAGAACTATTCTGCTAAGTCCACTCTAAATACCACCCCAAATCAAGTCATGCAATATATTAAAATTTTCCTTTCTATTACAAATTCTATTGATCGCATTTGGCGTAATTTTATTTGGAGAACAGTTGAGGTGCGCTAGAAGTTGCATCTCATTAACTAGAACACTATTACGTATGTCGTCGAACTACTTTTTAGCAGGGGCGAATTTACGCTTATCGAAGCGGTGTCATGCGACACTGCTTTGTCGGAAATTTTTTATTAAATATATGTATTCATATTGTACGAAACTGTTAAGTAGAAAAAAATGACACCACTTACATAAATTGTGTGTTGATAATGTGCTTGATATTTCTATAAGAGGTCAAAGGTTCAAACCTTAACTAAGACATTTTATTTTTGTAAATATTTGCTTAAGAATCAACAAAATCAATAGATTAAGACTATTTCTTGTCTAAAAGTATGACAATCAAAGCTATATTCCAGTTTTTTTATAAATTTCGACACTGCTTATAAAAATTCCTGCATACGCCTCTGTTTTTAATGTTTGGTAAAATATTATTAACATGCATGTAACTTATTATTTAAAATATTTTTAAAAGTGAAACATCTATATCAACAATGTCCGTGGAATTGGGTGTACATCAATTCAACTTTGAAGCTATACCATCAACTAAATTTCCAGTAGACCAGAAATCAAAATGAGGTACTCCCTCCGTTCTAATTTATGTGAACCTGTTTGACTGAGCACGGAGTTTAAGAAAAAATGAAGACTTTTATAATTTGTGGTCCTAAACAAGTCTAAATGGGGCCTAGAGTATTTGTACGGTTATAAAAGTTTCTCATTAAGGGTAGAGTTATAACTTTAAGCTGAATTGTTACCAAATTTTGACAGGGATTAATATAATTTTTCATCTGAATCCTTTTGGATAAACATGTCCGCTACGTGCACCAAAGTATTTGGGCAAAAACATGATGATACAAATAAAAAGTAAAATTTGGTCATTAGGACGTTGATTAGGGTTTCTTGAAGATTCTTTGCCTTTAAAATTATTCTACTCTAGGCATATGTCACTTATTATTTCATTGGTTTCAGTGTCAGTGCACCTTTTCTTGTCTTTTTTACTCTTAAGAGTTTGAGTAAAGAGACATAATTATGCAGATATGGTACTATGTATTTTCAAGAATTAAGAAATCAATATAATTGTATTAAGTCGGTATTTTTCTCAGAGCTTATTCAAAGGATCAATATTACGACAGTTCAAGTGTGTTATACATTTTTAAAAACTTATTTCTACTAGTTGTGACTTCTATTTTTAAAAACAAGATAGTTGATATATTGATGGAAAAGAGAAAAAACAAAAATTAATACGTGCAATCTCCCCCATTAATCTACACTTCTCATTGTAGGTAAAAACAAAGAGGTTCAGAATGTTGTTCAATTCCCTTTTCACCAATTTAAGAAAGCTCAAAGCTACCACTAATTTTGACCATTAGAATTCTTATGCTCTTTTTCAGGATTCCAACTCCAAAGTAGAAATTAATAAAAGTGTGCTTGTGTGAGCATATAGTGTTTTAGCACTTAATTATGATTAAATAATAGACACGGAGATAGAATTCAAAGCCCATATGTTCTAAATTAATAATTACTGATATTCAATATGCTAATTTCTAAAGCTTCTATAGAAATTATGCTTTTTTAAATGAGATTATGCTTATAATTTAAAATTAAATAGAATATATCATTATTTAGGCATCATATTGATTTTTATGTTTAAATACTAAATTTGGTTAACATTGAAAGTGTACATCAACAAAACTTATTGTTAGACACCTAAGAAAATAACTAAAATGTGTTACTAAAAATCACTTCCATAAAAACATTTTAAAACATCATATATTTGTCAATTTTTTCACTTTTTACTAAATATATATTCAGTTACCAAAACTTTATCTATAAATTTAACAAAATAAATATTGAAAAATATTTACGTAATAAAAAAACCCAAAAAATTCGATAAAATCAAACCAATCCAAACCTATATGTTGATTTGGTTTGATTTTTTTGATGAAAATCGAATAAACCCTATGCATATACAGTACTAATTATTACAAGTATGAAAATGCAGAAAATGACAAGCTCAATGATGGGGGATAAGTATTTTATAGTGTAGTTGTTTTCTTTATTCAAGGAAGTTGTTACACGTGGCCATTGTTATTCCAATGAATATTCCAATATCCATTATATAAATGCATGAATTTTAACAAAAATCACGTTTTTTATTTAGCTTTTTTTTTTTCTTTTCTTCCCGCAATGCTAATATAATGCAAAAGGTAAAAGCTTAGCATTTTAAAATCCATATATAATCAAAATAATATGGTTTGAGAAATGAACATCAAGAGTAAATAACATTTTTTCTCATCATTGGCTAATAAATTATCTCAAAAAATTTATTGGACTTTTTTTGACGAGGTAGGTGTCAATATATCCAATTATTCTTCATTGACCTATATAAGTGAAAGGCCAAATACATATACAATTCATCCAATTTAGTACCATTTTTTTTGTGACACTCTATTTTTACTTTATTACATTTTGGCCCTCCAACTCTATTTTATATGTTTCATTTTGGCCCTCTAACTCTATTTCTTATCTTTCACTTTAACACAAAAGCTGAAACCACTGCAAAAATATAGCGCGTGTGTATACACAAATTTGAGGTGTAATAAATATTCAATTAAATATTACCACCTGATTTTTCAGCCATTCCAAACGGGTCAATACTAAAATACCTGAACCCGACCGTATTTTTGTGGGTTTATTTCATCTAAACGGGCCAGACATGAAATCGGCAGATGAAAACTTTAGAACTTAGAGAATGAAGATGGGGCAACAGTGGATGAAAAAATACAGTCGGGTTCATGTATTTTAGTATTGACCCATTTGGCATGGATAAAAAAATCAGGTGGAAACATTTAATTGAATATTTATTATACCTCAGATTTATATACACATGCGTTATATTTTTTGCACTGGTTTCAGCTTTTGTGTTAAAGTGGAATATAAGAAATAGAATTGGAAGGCCAAAATAAAACATATAAAATAGAGTTTGAGGGCTAAATGTAACAAGATAGAAATAGAGTGTCAAAATAAAAAATGGTGCAAAGTTAAATGGATTGTATATATCTTTGGCCTAAGTAAAATTTATGGGAGAGGATGACAAAATTACACTCTGAAACCTATTTGAAAGAGTGGCTGGGGGAAACACAGTAAAAAGAGCTGTCAAATTGGGATGCGGACAATGATGAGATTTTTTGCCCAATCTTTTTGTAAAAGTGAAACTACCTCTTTTCTCACTCCCTGAATATCTTTTTACGAAGTCCGCCACACCAAAACGGCAAAACCTGGAAATGCTTTTGTTTATTTAGTAACAAAGTAAATTTTACTAAGCATAACAAAATATTGTAAAATAATTAGTGACTAACTAATTTTTGTTTAAAACATGTTATCAGAATTCAAATTTTAGAATTCTTCAATGAATTTTAGTTTTTCCAAATTTAGAAAATTATGGAAGAATAGACGTCAAAACAATCCATGTGAGTGTCATATAGACTAGAAATGGGGAACTAACAACTCTTCTTCAGCTACCAATCCCTTGCATAATCATTATT